AAGATCGGCGATCATACAATGAACATAATTAAAGTTAGATAAAGATAGTTAGATTATTGTCAATAAAACTTACTAAACCAATAATTAAGATCCTAACATTCAAATTATATACTTAATAATATATATTATTTAAAATATTTCGTGGTTTGTTTAAAAACAGAATCATCTTATACTACGAATGAATGGTATAGAAGAAACTAAAATAATTTACAGTTTAAGAATAAATATCTAAATGTTTAAAGTATTATTAAATTATTTTAAAAATAATGAATAAATAACATTGCTACCTAACCTAACCTTGATTCTATAATAAGTATTCTTTTTATTAGTGGCATAAGCTTGTTTATTATCTCAATCCTGTGTATTTTATTAAAAATTGTTATAAAACAGTTTGTTTTTAAGTAACCATTTTTGTATTGGTTTTCGATTGAATACATTTATTAACCCCTTCTTTTTATTTCCCAAGGAATTTCCGATAAATATTGTATTATTAAATACGATTTTCTTAAATCACGAGGATTACTTTTAGTATCATAAGAGGTTAAAATTATATGTACATTAAATAGTGTTTTGTATTATTAAAAAACCTGTTAGATATGATAATGAATTATTATAACACTATACTATTATTATTATTATTATTATATTATTATATTATTATTAACTCGTCTTAAGACCATTCATGAAGTGTTTTGTTTATCCTACAATTGTCTATAAGAATAGGTATATGATAAGCAAGCATTCGGTTAAACAATGGTAATATTATATTACCTCTACAAACAAATATAGGTTATTAATTTATTATTATTTATTTAGTTATTGGGAAAAAAATGTTTATTACTTATAATTATTGGTATTTAATGTTATTAATAAACTCAAAAAAAGTCATTAAACCCTAGGTCAATCGTTAAAAATATTCAGGCTAAATTAAAAATGTGTAGATTAAATAATTGTATAATATTAAAAACAGAACCATAATAGTAATTTGTCTATAAACATAATATCTACTTAATAAAATATGTAATCCGTTATCATTAAAGCAAAATGCTTTTAATTACTACAATACTAAACAATTATATTTACATTTTGAATTTCTATAAATAAATTATACGACGATAGCTTCATAAAAGTTTGTTGATCTTTTTACTAGTATAATACTGGTACCTGAATAATTCTACATTCAGGTATCTATGATATTTTCAAAATATTTCATGAAATATGTACCTAAGTGTTAGGTTAGGCGCTACACTGGGTATATTATGCAATATTTTATTACCTTGGCAAGTTTTATCTTATCTTAACCATTCTATATCAAGATACAAAAACGCTTTAATTAATAATATAATATTAAAACCATTAAAGGGTACCTAATAAAAAATATTTTATTTTGACCGGCAAAAATTAGGTCGCTATATTTTTCTATTAAATAAAAACAAGGTACTTTTTCACAGCACACTTTTATCAATACTCTAAGGGCCTTTTATATTCGTAGAATTGTAATTCAATATTAAATATGTACAATAGGTACGTCAGTTTAATAAACAATAACTAAATGAATTTACATTGTTTAAATAAATGAGAATTTAGATCACTCCAGCAGTCCAGCGACATACAAATTATTATTTAATTGTAAAAAAAAAAACAACTAATGAATAGTTTGTTTTAAAACTTTACAAAGAATGAAATTTTGAAATCCTGATATCTCCACCCCCCCCCCCTTTACACTCCATACCAGGTAAATTAAGCTGAGAAGTATTGCCCGTTTTTACCCACAAGGCCCCATTCTGTAAGTTAATGAGTATACGTGTAATGCTAACGTTCTAGGATAATAGAAATTATGAGGAACCATACTCGTGAATTATGTTTACGTAATAAACAGAATCAGAGACAGAATTTTACACTATTAAATGCTAACATCGTAATTCCACATTCTACCATCATAATTAAAAAACGAATGCCCGCAGTATGAAATATGTCCACTGCATAATTACGTAATGTAAACGAACTCTTAATATTCAGTGTTTTGATTTTGTACTAGAAAAAATAGAGTTCTCAGGGTCCGAATTTCCTCAGCTAATTTTTTCATTGATCCAAGCTGAATTTAAAAAAGTCAAACGGCAGTCCATTTTTTACTTTATAATACATTCAATGTGACACAACGGTACTTCACAATTTTCAATGAAAGTTGAAACATATACCTATAGGTCCAAATTTCAGGGGGGCTGAGGGGGCGTAGTCCCCCTAAATTATACAGTTTTTTAGTTGTGAGGGATCAAAGCCCCCGCTAACATTAATGTTAAAAATGTTAGCTCGCCCTGAAATTTTAACGGATTTCCGCCTATGCTTCTATCGTTCTGCATAACATGAATAATATGATAAATATATATTTTTCAAGTAAGCACTTATTTAATGTTCAACCAAGTATTTAAATAAACAAAGTAAATGAATCCTTAAAGTTTGAAAAAAAAACTTATTCAATCTACCTACAATTTTTTTTAAAGATGGATTACTTTTTAACAACATAAATCCTAAAATATTTCATGAATATAAAATAAATGCGTATGCGTATTTGTGAATTATGTAAAATTTAGTTTAGGGAAGTAACAACAATAATAGAAATTAATTTGTCAACAGTAAAAAGAGTTAATATTTAATCGAACTGTTTATTGCACTACAACGTATTTACATAATGATATTTAAATTAACGATTTAGCTATAGATATTATCACTAAGTAGGTTTCACGTATTGACAATCTATAGAAAGTCGACGTACTACGCAGTTTACGTTTTTTTCAATATTTTAAAACCGATACTTACAATGTGAGCAAATGTGGTAAATAATATTTTCATGTACACAACTATGTTACAGTAGGTATAGGTACCTACACAATTTAACATGCATTTATAATGAATTACTTGAATAGAAAATGTATTTAATTGTCAAAATATTGAAATCAATTAGGTATGTACTTGACTCGTTTTTGTTTTTTTTTTTGACAACAACTAGTTTTTGTATTAGTATGATAGTGAATAATAATAATATAATGCCTATTGATTGGTTTGATTCAACGAATTTGTTCTACTCGACGACCTTCGAAATATCCTAGTAATTAAACATTAAATTAATAATGCAATAACTACTAATAATTAACTTACTGCACGTAAATAAAATAATTTAAAGAATGCCAATAAGTACAGAGTATGACAATACATTTTTCTTAAATCAATCAATAAGCTCTCATTGGAATCTCATATTGTTTTCAGTAGTTGTCGAGGTAGTTGTGTTCTAATCGAGAAATCATAATATTTATCGACCAACATTGATTATTTTTATGACTGGCTGATGGGTGTAAAATTGCCCAATATCCTATAACGTTATTACATTTAAGTGAACAATATTATTGACTACGCTATACAAACATCTTTCCATGATCGTTCTATAACTGCTTGTTCAGCAATAACCTCAAAGATGAGTAGATTGAACAGAAAGCTCCAAACCGAAAGTGTATAAATACATATTTTTTTTAGGGGGGCATTTAAAAAGAGTATTCCTCAATAACTTTTCGAAGACACATTATAGAGGAAGCACGTGCCAAACGAGACGATTTCCACTCGGACAGTATAACGCATAGCCTACTTGCCAAACGCTTATATCGACCAGGTAACGAGCGCCGTGAATATGACGCGATCGTCCGACTAATCTGAACACCGATCGGTATTTAATACACCACAAGCCATAAGGTATCGGTTCGATAAATAAACAAACGAGTTTCAGACAGATCACCGATCGCAAACAGGAGAAGGGGTAAAACGTCATTCATTGAACTTTTGGTCCGTCGTTGTCGAAATGAAAATCGTCGCTCTAAAGATAAACAAATCAACTGGTTTTGCAATAGGTACAGCAATCGCGTTTTTCTTGGTGGGAAAAAAACACAGAAAACCACGATAATACAAGTATTGATTACCTACCATTATTAAATAATAAGATTGTAAACAAAACATTTTATGATTCGGTTTTCAGATATTATATCTTCAGCCCGATGTTCCGATGTGCGTGTAGCTATACAGTACAGAATGTAGAATTTTCCGAATAAAATTAATAAATATTGCGTATCATAATATTCAGTGGTAGGTAGTCTTACGTTTGTATTGTTTGTAATATTGATGTCGATTAATCCTAATCCGAGAACGCGGGGTCGACGGCGGCGCTTAATAATATCATATTATGCGACGTGTATTGTTCCAGAGGGTGGGAGCGGCGGTCGCGTGGGCATTTTGTGTCGGGGGTTGGGGTGCGGGGTGAATGAAAAACCCGTGTGGCGTACGTGCAGTTCGTCACGTACGCCACTCGGCGCGAACGGCACACGCTTACGAGGGGGGGGCGGAGGGAGGACGGCGAGGAAGCAGAAGAAGTAACCGGAGAAGAAGAAAAAGAAGAAGAAGAAGAAGAAGAAGAAGCGAAGTGAAAAAGAATCCGGCAGCCGCCGCGGTCGGGAAATAGGGAAAGGTCATGTGAGTCGGCCGTGTGGCGTACGTGACGACCGGTGTTCGGTCTATGGCCGATCACGTGCGAAAAAAAATTCTGTAGGCAAAAATAATTTACGCATACATTATCGAAGCGCGAGACGGCCTAGACGTGCGTGTGCGTTCGCTACGGCTGTACGCACATGTTTATTACAATCGTAGTGCTTTTTAATTATTTAATGATCGTAGACACACCGTGCAACTATTACGTACCCGCGATACTTCTGACGATAATATTGTAATATGCAATATGCTTAATGCGAGCGAGCAAGTAGCTACATGAAATTATTATCATTGATTATAGGTGAATGTCTAAATAATATAAACACTACTATAGTAATAACTAATAAAATACTAAAATAGTATTATTTATAATCAATGATATTAGAGGTTACATAATAAATAATAATAATATTGTCATTGTCAAAATATAGGTGATAAATAATAATATTATTATAATGATGGGTACGACTTACCCCATGCTCGAACCGTGCCGGTGGCCAAAACTACCGAAACCAAAGCAAATGTATACTTTAGGAAACTCATCGCGTGTGAGAGTAGGTAGGTATGTATAGTAAATTATACAATATTGTGTTATATAATAATGTGCTTTTGGAGTAGCGTTAAAAAAAAAAAATAATAAGTTATTTTATAGTAATATAGTCTCGACGGTAAAAAAGTGATTATTACAAATACAATAGTAATAAAAATAATAGTACATCCGAATTCGGAATTACAAAAATATGGACTATAAATAACCGTTGGGGGCACAGTTTCGCGTTAACTGTGACGGGGGAGACCGTGGAAAAAATTACGGAACATTTGAAATTGCCGCGTGCAGTCGACACGCGCTCCTCCGGGATGCGGCGGACGGCGGCGGCGGTATACTGAAACGACTGAGTTCAGTCTGATCGACGGCGTTCGGTCGTGCCGTCGAGTTATTAATATTTTCGACTCTATACGTCGGCGTGCGTAACGAGTAGTGCGTTGCTTCTGCGCGCGCGCGCGTGTACAGTGCGTGTAGGCGGCTGTTCTGAGCGTGTGTGCATGCGACCGGGCGAGACGGTTAGACGGTGCCGAGTGAGTAGTGACCGACCCGCGCGACGCGACTCCGGTAGTCCGGTCGGGCGTGCGGCGGCGCAACTTGACGTGCGCGCGCCGACGACTTCTTTATCATCAACCGCCCGGCGCCCGCCACCGATTTTTTTTCGAATAATAATTATTATTATTATTTTATCATACTAAGGTGTTTGTACTTTTTCTGATTATTACTCATTAGAACTTTACCGCGGCCGCACCAGCGCTTTTTCAAAAATTCAACGTCGACCCCGCGCGCCGCGCTTGTTTCGCAATATCTAGCTCTGAGAAGGTACCGCCCAGCCACAGCGCCACTAGCCCCCTCCGCGAGACGGTCAACCCGTTCGCGGGTTTTTTTCCGCGACGGTCAACGACTCGCGTGGTGCCGCCGCGGCCGTCGACTGGCGCACGTGCGCTTACCGTGAACTCGACGATTCGATGCAAAATATGTCAGCGTACGTTTTTCTAATAATGTGTGTGTGTGTCTGTACACTCAAATTTTTGGGATAGTTGTATAATAATGATTTACTATTATTACTACTATCTCTCAAATTATTAAAATATAATTTTAAATTTTAATATTCGATCAAAAATGCGACGATAACGTTACAGCATTCGGTTGTGGTAAATCCCGATTATAGAAGGTATTTAATAATTATCATGAACAAGACGTACAGCACTATAATATCTCGTACTCGTTTGCTGGTTAAATTTTGCATTTTTTTTTTTTTTTTTGTTATCGTCGTGTTCATAGCAGATAGCCACTTTTTTATAATATAGTCCCCGGCCGTATTTTTCTGCTATTATTCAGTAGGCTGCATCGTAATTGGTTCACATACCTGCAAATTTACATCCGAATTGTTTCCCGATAAAACTTTCAAATTGAAATATAATTTAAACTACCAAGTTCAAGTATATGGGCGCAAATAGACCAATACTTTTGGGGGTGCACAAATTGGAAAGAATTCCCAGACCCCCCAGCCCTTAACACAGTGTAATATATATTAGAAATAATTTCATATTTATTTTAACATTTATATGTACCTACTGTAGTTTAGTATAAGTGAAGACTGAAAGTATGTTAGGACGCCGCGTCTAGAGTTACTACCGGTCCATACCGGACATAAGTCAGCGCCTGACGTGGCCGTGCTGTTCCACTGTTTAACGCTGCAGGGAAACCATACCCCGTTACTGATACAAATAAACTAAGAAAATACAATTGTCACAACTATTTTAATATGATTTTTTTGTCCAGAAAATTTAATTTATTTATTTTAGGTATCTCAATAAATTACCCAGACTCATAATGCCATTACAATTATTTTTGTTCAGTTATGAGTATACTACCCATGCATTTATTTTACCTAATGTATTAGTGCTGTTAATTTTTATTTTAGAGTGAATTTACTTATTACCAAACCTTTAGTTAAGAACATTATCTGTGCTAAAGCATTGGTGTTTATTCGATATTTTAATTTTCGCATGAAATGTGAGCATTTTTAATTTGTAATATTTCAAATATCAATTTCTTGCTTGAAAATTAAAATATTGAAAAAATTGCAGACGCTTATAAGCACAGCTAATGTTCTTACCTAAAAGTTCGATTATAGGTCAATTCATTCCAATATCAAAACTAACAGCACAACATTGGCGTCAATTCAGTTTTGAATAGTAAAGGGCAAGAGGGTAACTTAAAAAAATAGATAATATATTATTTTCTTTTCCTTCATAAAACACACATATACATACCAACTACCAACTTAGTACACTTTCATGCAAGTCCTCACATGCGTCTAAGTATAATTGTATAAATATATTCCAACCATTAATTAGTTAGTACCATTGATTTTAAAATATAGTATATTTTAAAATCAATGTTAGTACTAATATTAATTTAATTGAGTGAAAACAATTTCTTAGTACTTACACACTATAATAAGTAAGCATGTTTTTGCACTAATAAAATAAAATAATAAATAAACGAAAACAACCGGACACTGGTCTCAACAGCCCACTTTTAAAATCAAACAGCGGCATATAGCCACATTGCCTCCCCCAAATGACGCCACTGCAGCACACTATTGAAACTGGTAAATGAACATTTAATACTGGAGTACTTGTCAATTTCATGTTAAGTACTTCTATGTTTTTTTTTAATACTGTAATAGACATTATAGGTCTTATTATTTGTTTACTATTGGTAGACACATAAACATTGAAATATTAAAAATACGTAACATAATAAAACTGTTTACTTGTTTTATTAGCAGTATTGAGCCCAGATAAATATAATTTTATCTAGATAAAGATTAAGATAATTAAATTATTTATTTATCTAGATAAAGATGAAAGAAAAATTATTTTATTTAGATAAATCATTGGATATAATTTTTTTTATCGGTTTATGCACTCATTTCTTATAAAATATACAATATAATAATTTATGTATATTTTATTGTAACCATATTATTAAGATTGTATTAGATCAATAGAGCTTAGTTTTCCACATATTTCAGTTTACTATTATTCAAAATATTTTTAAGATTTTTAAATACATAAAAAATTTAAATTTAATTAATTAATAACTTATCAGTATGTATATTTCATTTTAGACGATCATCAATATGCACAAGTAAATATAACTTTATTTGTCTTAAAAATAGTTGGGAAAATACTTTCAAAGTTTTTGTCATCACGTTTACAAAATTCAATATGTAAAATATTTTTTTTAATTTTTGAATGGGTATTATTTTAAATTTTAAAAAGAAAAAATGTCCCCTAACCTTTCACACTTTAAATAGGTATATTAACATATAGGTATGTACTATATTTCAACACAAATGAACAGTTTAGTCTCGCTGATTAAGTAAATAAAATTGTCACAACCATTTTAATATAATTTATCTGTCCAGCAAAGTTTTTGCAAAACAAATTAAGTATTCATCATGCGTATGCTATAAAAAAAACTCTCTGAATAGGTTCTCAAAATTAAAAATTAAAATTCTAATCTCCGATGGAATAATTATAGTATTTATAATCAATGATAATAATAATACGCAATTTTCGTACAATAAGATTATTTTGAGTTATTTTTATATACACGTTATATGCCGTCTGGTGGGTTTCGAGGTGAGAATATTTCCCGTCGTATGTTACAAGTTTCAGATCAATCGGACTTTCGACATTTTCTTATTAACGGCACACGCGGAGTCACGATTCTGTTACTTAATACCTATACGTAATCCGAAACAACTTTTTTAAGAAATTCGATATTCCTAACCCTTTCAAAAATGGTTAAATCGGTTTAATTTTCTTTTTATCGTGTTCAGCGTGGTTCCTCGAGTCTGTTACACTATCAGGTTAATTTTTTGCGAAAGAATTGGCTAAAAACAATTTTTTTATAATTTCGATCACTTTTTACGGGACAATTTGTCTAAACGGGATAAGCGATTAAACTCAGCCTCTTTTTTATTTACATTCAATGTATCAAAACATATAGAAGAGAACTTTTCACGCCGTTCGATATAAGTTTCGGTTCAGTCGAACGACTATTGAACATTTGCTGATCAACGCCGTCTACATGGTATTATTTGAATACGTTATTATCGACTCCTGACACATATATTCTCACTCTATCGTCCGTTCCACACTCAATACTTGTCTGATTGAGTTTCGATTGATATCTCAATAAGCATCTTTTTAGTCTCGTAGAATGTACTATAAAAAAAATAACTCTTAGAATATACTATCTAGTGCAGCGGTTCTCAAACTGTGGTACGCGTACCACTAATGGTACGCGAAAGACTACATGTTGGTACACGGAAGGTCTGAAGTAACAATCAAATTTTCTAATCGTTCATCATTAAATTTAAAAAAATATAGCTGAAAAAAATTACAAAAATATAGCTGAATAGGTAATGAAGACGTTCGTAGATATATGGAAAAATGACGTTAAAAAAATTCATTTATAGCTAAACACGAAACAAAGTAAAATAAAACGTACCTATATAATATTATGTATTCTCAAATCTCAATCTCATCAATTAAAACAAATTCATAGCTGAGTTAGTATTTGTATAGGATTAAATAAAAATGTCGTCGACATTCGACATAGGTACTATTTATTTTCTAGTTATGACTTTATGAGTATTAACGAAACCTGCTTTAAGGTTTTTATCGGTACTCGTTTATCGAATATCGGTATAAATGTATGAGAAAAAAGTCGAAAGTACATATCTATTATCTATTATACATTTATACCTAATGTTAAAATGTTTCAAAGCTATACTCCGATTCACATTCACTCGACTTAGGCAGGTGGATGCTTTAATGATTTGCTATACTATGAAGTTAGCAGTTTAAAAGTTTCCTGTTTAGGTTAAGAGTAGGTAGGTATTTAAAATATTAAACAATTATTAGGTATTTGACAATGCTCATAATTCACTCAAACATTTAAATATCGTACAAAACCAACGAGATAAAACAGATAATATACTTACATTTAAGTTTAAAAATATAAAACCGATGTGTTAAACTCTCAAAAATACATAAAAAAAAACGATTTTAGTTGTGGTGTTTTATTTATTTTTTGCGTAGGTCTTAGAGGGAAAATAAATATCGAGCTGACATCCTCTTAAAAAGATAAGATTATGTTATCATTTCCAGCATGTTTGCTATCACTTCCTACCACGAACTAAGATATAGGTATATCTTAGTTCGTGCTTCCTACCTTTATAACTTTTTAATGTTTCCTTTTATTTACCTACATAAAGATACGAAAAGTTGACATTTATTTTGTAATTCTTCCTTGTAAATAATTGTAATATAAAAAATATAATTATTTTTAACTTTTACCACTTGAAAACTGTGAAGCACTTTTAATAACTATATAGGAAAAACCTTATGACTAAAGTTTATCTTAATTGTCAGTTTTTTGAGTTTATTATGAAAATTCCATAGTGTAACAGAAAAATACTGGCTGACTTATGAAAATTTCTTAGCAAAATTGACTATCCAAATTTTTTATTCTAAAGTGCATGAAGACCAGTGGTTTAGTGAGAGAAAATATAATTTTAAAGTTAAAATGGTAAGATAAAATGTATTAAGGACGTTTTGAGTTGTTTCATTCTTCATACATGCAACATAACATACATATTTACTTTTATCAGTTTCAATTTTGTGTTTTTGGCTTTAATATTAGTATGAACTAACCAATTATCAAACTTAAAGGAAAAAAAATTTTTTTTATCAAATCTTATAGTAATGTATTTTAGTTACTTTTTTAAAGGAATTTACCTGATATTAATTACTAATTACTATTAATTTTACTCACTGTCAATAATTTTTGGTATTTATTGTTTTATACTGTTATATTTAAAATATATAGACTAACTTGACAGTTTAACAAGATAGAATGATAAATTAACTTAAGGAATAAATTCATGAGTTATAAATAAATTATAAATTTCTTATGGCTGTTCATTTTAAATGCTAACAATTTTTTGTTTTTGCTACTTTTCTTTAAAATTATTATAAGAACAAATATTAAGATAATAGCTGGTGGTATAGATAATATCATAATAAAATATAAGAATTATTAATTGTTCTCTCGATATCTCTTAACTCCTATTTACAAAATTAGAATTCAATCACACATTTAATCATAATATTATTTACTTACAAAATAAGATACCTAAATCTTACTCTTTATCTAAAACTAGAAATATTAACTTTTATAATTGCAGTAATCATTATTAAGATATCAAAATTAAATTTAGTAGACAATTTATCATTTATAAAAAAAATTGCACTTATCTAATAATTAATTTAAACAATCATTTTAGTGAATAAAAATACAAACATCTCCAGGACTACCATCATTAGAGAAAATAGAGAAGGATATCGCGTAAAGCTCACAAAAGAAGCTAATATATATACATATGTAAGGTAAAATTTAATTTAAAAATAAAAGGTGACTCTGTCCAGCAGATTCTGTGCATCCTATGTGACACCATGCCATTAAGACTGGTTCAACTATGGCAGGTTCCACGTGGAGTTGTGCATAAGAACCAATATTTTTAGGCAGCTTGATCTTCTGTCACTAGACCCTAGACAGAGTTATGCAGTTTTGTTAGAGGTGCTTTTTAAAAAGTATTCGAATACAGATACAGATACTTAATTTGAAAAGTATTTAAAACACATATTTAAATACTCAGTAAAAAGAAATATTTGTACAAAATTTCAAATTGTTTATAAATAATTTTTCTTATATTATCAATTAACAGAACAAATTTTCATGTCGTACTTTAATTTTATAGAGGATTTTACTTCAAATTATGATTTTTATATCAAAGTTTTAGAATCTTTGGTTGGGTATAATTCACAGTATAAAAAAAAAATTAATTCTTAATTAGTGGTAATGTAAATGAGTAGCTCTCTGCTGAACATTAGGTGTCTAGAGAATCACTAATTGGTATATTAAATTTCAATTCAATGATATAAAATCATTGCATACCAAAAATGATTCTGTGCGAAGACTGTTTACCATCCTTAAATATTACTAAATAGGTGTATTTTATGATAATGTTATTGTGATTAAAGTAATTTATCTTAATATAATAGAAATTAGTACCCACTATACGTCTAGATAGAAGTTTAAATTAATTTTTTCCAAAAAAAATCACATTTGAAAATTAATTTTGTGTATAAAATAATTGTTAACTCTAAAAGTTTCAAGTACCCACAAATAATATTTTAAAAGTTACAGCGATATAACTAAAAATGTCATTCTTGATTTTAATATGTAATTTCTTCCAAATTTGAACTCATAATCATAAAAGAACATTTTTCAAAAAAATTTTTTGTTAAATGTTGGAAAACTTAAGAGGAACCTTGTATTAAATGTTCAAGTTTTTTAACCGAACAAAAAAATAATTTTTACAATGGCTTAATAAAAATTTAATACTGGATCTAGTATTTGGTATACTCTTACCATCTTTACAAATTATAAATGTTGATAGATAAATGTACCTATTTGCTAACATTTTCAAATCACTATAGCTCCTATTTATTGCAAACCCATTCTTATAGACCTTTATCCTTAGTACCTACACAAAGTTAAATAACTCAACAACTTCTTGTTTGAATATTGATTTTGAAATGTAAACAATTTCAAAAAAATTATTTTATTAATATTCAGTAGAAAATAATTAGGGTTCTCGATTTAAAAACAGAAGTTTATATCCCCATGGACACTCCTTAAGCTGTGACTTCTAAGTTGTACAAAAAATCTCAAGAATTTGAAAATATGGTCTTTACTCTTTAGGACTTAAGGTATATTTAAAATTCCAAAAATCAGATTTCGAAAACTGCATCATAGAGGAAAAAAGAATGTTGGGGGAACACTCTGTATACATCATTAAAACACTATAGACTATAGTCATTTATGCATTACTAATATTAGATAATACATTTGTATTTCATCATTAGTATTTAATACTACTAAATAATTAAAAATAGTTTTATACGCACAATACTGATGTTATAATATTCATTTTTATAGACTTCTAATGTACATTCATATATATTTAACTTCAATTCATCATATTTGTTGATATGGCATATGGAGTTAATAGTTCAAACATGCCTCTTATTATTATTTCATCAATCATTATTAAACATTTTCTTAGAAGAAATCAATGTGCCTTAATTGTCTAAATGTGTCTAATTTTCTTATGATGTCATGTTCATTTATTTTATAAGTATGTATAAAATATGTATTGATAACTAAATAAAAATATAGATTTCATATTTTTTTTACTTACATACAAAGCTAAGTGCCAACATACAATTAACAAGTATACAAGTAATTAGGCTATCAACATATTTTTTAGGGGTTTCGTTGTTAAACATTAGAACTTAATAAATGTTTAGAAATTACTCTTGACTGCTGCTCATTTAAGATGCATTCATCACTTGTATTATTCAATTATTTATAGTAGTCAATACATTTCAATCAATTAAATATGTATCAAATAATTAATGGAAATTGTATTTAATTTAAACCCTCAATGCTTGAATATTTTTTATTATTATATCTAGAGGGCCATATGTATGGAATTATACAATTTTGCAACCATCATTGAAATTATAGGCACTAGGTAGCTTATAATTTCAAATATTTAGTACATTTATGAACAAATTACACTTCCCTTATGATTGTTTTGCCAAAATAAACTAACAAAAATATTTATATACTTCAATACTGATCCATATTTTAATGTATCATTTAGTATTATATTATTGATTGATTCTTATTTTAGGTGCCAAAATGATTCCATTTAAGAAGGTAGAAGAATTAAATGAATTATTTATAAGAAACAAAGACATGAGTATGTTGTTGAATGAAAAAGATAGAAGATCTTTAGACAATTTGATCAATGAATTATCTGGAGAAGATATTAATTCAAATTTACTTAAGACTATTTTGGGGCTACAGGTAAACATTTTTCCATTTTTGAACTATTAAAAATCTTTAATACTATAATTTCAGGAGAATAAATATTCCATTGAAATAATTTGGCAACTACATACAAAACAAATTATTGACTTTGCAGAATTTATCACATGGTCAGTAGAATATTTACTAAATATTTTTACTTTACTCGTGTTATATCAATTTGTTTCAGTTATAAGTGGAGTGTTGATCGTATAGTTAAAACTCTACTATGTATGACTGAATCCGAGGAAAAGCTTTATCAAGAAATTTTGACAGATTTGTTGGGAAGTCTATTAGTTTTGTTGTCTGGAGAACCTAATCATATATTCGATCAACACATACAAATTATTCAACAGTTTTTAGCTCAAGTACTGATTTTAAGTAAAATAAAATCAATACAAGGCAATATCTAGGCATAATTTTTTTTGGTGGGGAAAGGGTCTAAAAAGTACACATTTACACCTTATAAATATATGATTTATTGTATATGATTGTCATATTGACAATCATAATCACTTAATATGATTTTTAACATTTTTCTTAAAATGAACAAAAAAGATTCTTTATCTAAAAAATGTTGAAAGGTCTCCAGATATAGCCTTGCATCAATGTATAGGTAATGATATTAATTTACATTTATAGATTTATTTCTTCATATTTAACAGTCAAGCTTAATAATCACAAGAAACCATGATGGATGGGTCTATTTGAAAAATCTTAAATGTTCACCTTTTTTAACAAAATCAACAATTCAAAAAATATTCAAAATAATGTTAAAAAATATGCTTATAGCTGATGTTGATTTCCATTTGAATATTGCATATGAACATTATAGATTGTATAAAACTCCTGATTCTGTGTACAACATGCTTAAAATGGTTAATTTTTTCATTACTTCTAATCGGTCATAAAAATTAGTTACTTAATTTATAAATTGATGGTTATAATTTATATTATTTCAGTTTTTGGATGAAATTGATGAAGATGTTATATATGCATTGATTCAGAATGTCTTAACGCTGCATGCAGAAAAAGCCAATTGGAAATTGATATTGTCTTTAATTTCTACTTTTGTTAAAACAAAATCTCATCTATGTCATATGTTAAAATGTATTTGTTTTTCTTTCATGTATTTGTATTTTGAAAATGAATTCATTAAGGCTAAATATTTTACTCAATTGTAGTGAAATTAGAAGAATTTCTCAATCAAACATTGTCCAAATCAACTACAGAAAAAAGTTTTTTATTGCAAAAGGCTGCTTTATTAATTTTTCGTCAATGCTGTTTAGAAATTGGTCTTTGGTCAGAATACAGCAGATGGTACAGTTCGTATAAACTAAATGTAGATACTTCTAAAACATTTTACTCTTTGCTCATTGAATTATTGCCCATTGATTTACCTGCCGCTTTAGCAGCCCATATTAATACTGTAAGTAGATAAATGATATATAGAGTTTGGTTATTCTTAGTATGTGTTTGTATTAATTTGTTATCATTTTCCAGCAACCTAAACTATCAGAATCTTGTGGAGCTATACAGTCTGATTATGTCAAAAAAGCCCAGGCCCAACTAATCAAAATAAACCATGGAGAAGATTACATGGGGTTGTTTAAAAATTACGATGATTGTCAGGTAAAATAAATTGTAGCTTATTATTTATTTAATACTATACAAGAAACAATAAATTATCAAAGTATAAATATAATTCTGAAACAATATGTATTTCACTTCTCAAATATCTGCATTCAGTACCAATAACTTATTGAAATTATCTAATTGTTAAGTTTAAGTCAATAATAATAAAGTGAAAAAAATTTCTGTACAGTTTTTAATATAAAAAAAAATATTTATGTTATAAATAAAATTGCAATCTTTTGTGCTCAGTTTATTTGTTTAGTACAAACTTAAATTTTTTTATTTATACTGAGTCACTGTGACAAAAATAGAGTTAAATATATTGCTTTTATCTTAACTAATTTAATTAAAGATTGAATTAATACTTTACTAAAAATATCTTGGTTATTATGTATTGTCATAATTCTTTAGCAGGAATAGATGATAAAATATATTTCAACATTTTATTACAATTATTTAATATGTGTAAATTGTTATTGTTTCTTTGTAAGTGATTGTTGACAAATGTATTATTCGTAGGTTCAAGTTCAACACTAGCGCCGACACTACTCTAAAATCTATGATTTAGTAGAATATTATCTATATTTCATCATCAATTTTTCTTCATCATAATAAAAAAATTTGAATGAGTTACATTTTTAAACTATATTCAACATTTATATACACCATGGTTCACAAACACATATTAATTAAATTAATTTACTAGAATTTTATTATCTATGATATCAAACAATCATTTGACATATTAATTGCTCTTATAGTCTTATAGTATATTTCAATGCTAGTTATCTTATTCTATATTAGATCTTCAATGCTCATTATAGATAGAGCATAGACTATACAGACACTTTGCTGATTGTGTTAATATAATGAAAAATAATATTGAATCTTACTATACTATATTTCAGAACCGTCATGAAGCAGACATTGTCAAAGTGCTCGAATCCTTTAAATCAACTGGTCAAGTAATGCGAGTTGTCTTAGAAGCATGTGTTTTTAGAAACAAATATTTTATTGGTACATTTCTTAAAACTTTGATGAATACCCAACTGGTAGATGATCAGTTACGAAACAGTTTTATTGAAAAATTAAATAGTATGAATAAAATTCCTAAAAATATGTACACCAAGTGGAAACAAGAACAACAAAGTATCTATTTTTCATAAACCAAATATTTCTTGTATTTATTGCTCAATAAAAATTACATTGTTCTCCATATTGTTTCATAATATTATTGCATCTTATTAATCTTATCTTAATTATGATTTTAAACTAGGGTACTTTGCCATCTGCTCATTTTGCTTGCCAACCCTCTTCTTTTTTTTTTAAATTTCTGTGTAATCTTAACTTTTCCATGAATGAAATACTGCCACTCAAGGTTGTACAAGCATTCTGAAAATTAAAAGAAGCATTGGCATATACATTACTATAAACTTTGATATTTTGTCTACAACTTCATATAAATTATTAATAATGAACATTTTACTACCGTCTTTCATCTTTCTAGGTACCTACATACCTATCTGCCATGTACCCAACCTATTAAGTCATATGCCTCTACAACAATTATCTTTCCAGACGATAGATTTTTTTTGCTTTTTTAATTTGGTGCCATTTTTAATTCAGATAACTCTAGCTAGGTTCAATCACCTTATATTACCCACCCTATATTTCCTGTTATTGTGAAGTTATTTATATAGATTGCATATTTTTAAATAAACTATACAAAAAAAAAGATTACTCACCTTCGAAAATAAACCAAATGCACTTTGAGGAATGTTCTATTCATATCAATGAATATGAAATTCAATAAATTTTTTATAGAGTTGCTTGCTACATTTATAATTTCTACACAAAATATAAAGTAGGTTACACTATTAATATTTAATAATTCCTATGGATTACCTTTCTTTAGGTATTTATGCGTGAATTTAATTTTGGCTAACAAAAATCGTATATTTTTTATTATATTTTGTCATTAAATAGGCTTTTCAACCCAATGAATCGGGAATCACAAAATAATTGTTCAAGATTTATGAATGTCAGCATTCAACAGGTTGTAAAGTAATGTATAGGTTATTTTTGTTTCAAATTCTGAAATACCACACTCGTTTTTGTCAATAATTTAAATATTTTTCAGTATAATATACAAAATATAAATCATCATTTAATTTAAAATAATATATGAAAAAATATAATTTTTTTTTTTAAAGCATGTTATGGTAATTTTAGGACATAATTGAATACATATTAAATAGTATTATAAGGCATATAATTGTTGGCCCTAGTAATTATAATTTATAATCCGTCGCAGGTGGATTGAAAATCTCGGTTTCATTTATTGCCAAATAAAGCCGGGTATTACAGCTCGACTTTAGTCATATTATAAAATATTGAACTGATTACCTACTTTAATTATAAACTGTAACCGGCGTATAATAATAATAATAGTCAATAGAATATTATTATCAAATAATCTTTATTAATATTATAATATTAATGTAATATTATTTCCACACGATTATCCTGAATAATGACTGTAAATTGTAAAGTAAGTGTAAAATATGTGATGAACTGATGACTATTAACGGATGTTTTAATACAAATAATTACGCCGACGTTGATGCAATCCATTGTGCATGTAGGTTGTGTAGTCTATACCGTAACAATTCGGGAACAGACTACACGACGTGACAATAATATTATAAGTTATAACAATATTAAACGGTCATAAAGAGTAATGTTTAATAAGTTTTTTTTTTGTTCCAAAAACGTGTCAATCAATTGCTTTCGTATGCGTATACATAAACAATATCGATCCATAAAAATGTGAATTTTATGAAAGGTTGCGATATTTGGTCGACAACGTTTAGTAGTTCACTCAATCGTGTGACTGTGACCCCACGAAGACATTAAAACGGAAATTATATTTTTGTGGCACACCAATCACCGTACTAACAAGACATATTATTAAAATAATAACAATTTATGATATATATACATATTATACATCAACAACCAACGATTATTGCAACACGTAAACATAATGTATTGTATCGTTCGTTGATCTAAAATCGATAAAAAAAAATACAACTGCACGATTCACCTACCCATCATCACATCCATTGGGGACAATGATAATAATATGTGCCTAGTGCTTACAAAATACCGAATCGACGTCACTATAATACTGTTTTGTAGAAATCCAAACAAAACTCGCGAGTCGTGTTCGTGCTTCGCGCCACGTATTTGCATCGTGCTCCAAAGTCGCGTCGCTCATGATATGATAAACTTGGTCAAGACGTCACCGAAACCATGTTGGTTATGAAATTTGTTCAGGGTCGTCCCTTGGGCATGGTGAAATGAGAATTGGGTCTTCGGCCCTGGCCCTTCAGACATACTTACATTATTAAACATAATATTATGCATTAAGTACACACAATTTACAACTGTGCATTATTCTTTAAATAATATAATTTAATTATTTATTTTTAACTACAATTTCATGGTACTTCGACATTAACGAAATTACGACCATTAAATTATTTGTCATTCAAATATTATTTTGGCTATCGCACGAGCAATAATTTATTTTTATTATAATTTATAAGAAGGCTTCATATCCGCATGTGTTGTCTCTTTTATACTAATGCATAACCTAGTATATTTTATGGTCAGAATCATGTATCTTACCGCCTTGATTCTAATATTAGAGTGAATTGATCTGTTGTCAAATTTAAAGGTAAAAATATCCAAGAACCCGGGCAGGATTTTATTAATGATTTAATATTGAAATTATGAGCATTTTAAAATGTATACCTACAAAAAATGTATACACATGACGACGTTATTATTTATTAGTTATTAATAATTATTTTACCCATTACCCAAGATTTTAAGGTATCCTTGCACTTCGTTGTATAATTGTTCGAGGTGATACATATGTAACTCGAATGTAACGTGTTACCAACATTTTTTTGCCAACGGGCCGGCATTGAGTGTACATTATACTCCGAGAGACACGACAGGAGTTATTCTTTTTAGTCTCTAGTCAAATGGTAGGGCCCCTGCAGGAAGCCCCAAATCCCATTCCTCGATTTCTGTCAACGACAATTCTGCCTAGGACCTTGTTATACATATTACATAAAAATTAAAAATCGCCACAGTATGAAGACGTTTCTCGCAGTCTGCACGCAGTGCCACACACTACCGCGCACAAGCACAATATGCATAAATATAAATGCATAATGCATGCATATAGTTGCAATTATACCCAAACCTAGACCGGATATATCCGTACTCCGTAGGTTGGTATAATATTATATAGGTGTACCTATACTACGAAACGAGCTCTAACCGTGCGATTATACAGTTTTCTCCACGGGTGGGAATGCGAAAATAAAATAAAAATTCTCTATTCGCTTCTCTCGCGCTCTCTCTCTCTCTCTCTCNAACAAATATCTGTTTAACTGTATTTATTATATAAAAAAATTAAATTTTAAAAACAAACAAACGACAATTATTATTATACTCCGAATTAATATTTTTTAAAGTACTTAATATTATTTTCTAAAACTGTATAATCTCAAAATTAAAAATGCTAATAAATATTTTACTAATTACATTTATGCTTAAAACAGACTAATTTTTTTAAAATAAACTTTTGCAATAATTACACACCGCCTACTTTGAACACCACGAGCCGCCACTGGTGCTACGGTTAAAAGATATTAAATAACAGATAATATTATAATTAGAACTATATCGATCAAAAACTCCAAACGTTTAATCTTAATCGATAAATGTATTATTTTACAAAAACTCAACCAATTTATTAAATTTATATTTATTGCATGTATACATACCTATACTCATATTATATTTTAACAATTTATTATTGAACATTTTTTTAATGTAATATATTATATGAAATAAAATATTAAATTTGGCGCAAATGATAGGTCATTATTATACCTTTGGCGCTTATGCCACGTGTTAAGTACAACAGGTATACAATATTAGATTGGCGCTTATGTCATACAAATTTTGGCGCAAATGATAGGTCATTTTTGTACCTTTGGCGCTTATGTCATGTAGCCGCCTATACTTACTCGCGCGTTGAAAACAAACTACTGCAGAATAACGAACTTTACTGTTATTATCTTTTGTGAAGTGTGAACTGCGAATGTGTTGTGATGAAGGAAGATTATTTTGTTGTTGTTGATATATAACAACAATATATTACAAGGAATCGTTCCACAAACATTTGACAATATTTCAAAACTATATCACGCCGTAGAACGTTAAACCCTCATTTTGTGGAAACGTTTCGTAGTATATATACTGCAGATACCACTTACCAGATACCGTACGTTTCGTAGTATATATACCGCAGATACCACTTACCAGATACCGTAAGTTTCGTAGTATATATACCGCAGATACCACTTACCAGATACCGCAGCTTAGAGTAAAATTACGACTCCGTGCACTCAGCACAGAGTCAGGCTGCTGAATACAAACCCATCGATCGCAGACCGAAACAATCATTGTTATTGTTATTTATAGATCAATATGTTTAGAGATTCTGCGTAATCGATTTTGGCACGATTCCTGCAAGCGGGCGCTGTTTTCACTTTATTATGTATACAGTAAGTACACACACCCGGACAACGAGGGACCCACATCGCGATCGTATAATAATTATCAATTATGTGTTTAAAATTTAAAACGTCCAAGTACATTATGTACACGCGTGCTGTGTCGACCATACGACAGGAGGGACCGGTGATTCACACGCCCGCTCCGTCCCTGTGGGAAAATGTCCGACAGTAGGCTTTCAGACTTTGCCACTTTGTAGTAGGGAAATTCATAAACGTTTTCGTTCAACAGATAAACAAACACGCGCGCGCGTATAATATTTTATAGACTGTATACTACAACTGTATCTAGTCTTTTTTTTGTTACATTAATTATGTAACCATACATTATCACTTTTTTTATTATAATTTACGAGTTTAATCATTAGAGGAATGTACGATTTCAAAATAATTACCTACAATACTTCTAATAACCGTTTACCGTATCGATTTGATAGCAATATGCCAATATGGCTGTACCTATAGTCAGTGTACGAGTGCCTATAAGTAGGTACTATAAATATTAT